AAAAAAAAACTCCGACCATTTTTTTAATTAAAATGCCGAATTTGTGGTCTATTTTCGTATAGTATTTATGGTTGTATTCTCATTTTCTTGGTCTCATTTGATAGAATGGAAAACATATTACAGAAGTTGAGGTGATGTTGATTGATTTTACTATAAAAAGAACCTGCAAATGGAGCTCAAAGTAGGGAAAATGTTTGATTTTTGCCAATGTTCAAAAGTAAACAAATGATGTCATTGTCCAATAAATGTCCAACTAGCCATTCTAATATGCAGTCATGAATGGGTTGATGTTATTTAATCAATTATTACAGTATTGCAGTAGTCTGCATAATAGTAAGTCTTCTATTTTTTTGTTTGAATAAAAATTCAAAATAGAAAGCAAGAGTAATATCAGAGGGGCCTGGAGATATGACTGATGAACAAAGAAAATGTTATTTTAGAGCCAGGAATGTCTGCATTGTTCATTCTGGACCTTATTTTGAAATTGTCATATTTTTTAATTTTCGTGAAATTGGCCAAATTGCAAATTTCTGACCACATTATTGGGTAGTTGAAATCGGTAAATGGGCAGTTTCTTGTACTCAATCGATAGAAAAAATGGAGTTCTAAAGAAATAGCTATGAGTTTGGTCGGCTGGAACAATGGAATTAGCCAAAAATAGGGCTCAAATTGGGCGAAATCTCCGATTTGTAAATATCGCTGAGGTCGCTAACTTCGCGAGAGCATAATTCCGTCAGTGTTCCATCAAATTTTTTTTTTTTTGGTGTCATTACAATCGGGAAAAGATTCTCTATCATTTCATAAGAAATTTTTTTTTTTTTTTTTTTTTGAAATTTTGCGACACCAGGAGACACCTCAGGATTGGGGGTTGCAACAGTCAAAGGGCTAGAATTTAAAATATTTTTGCCAAGCAATAATATAGCAGCTTTCATGGGGAATTCCCCAGACACACCTACAATTAAATGGCCAGTGTAATACTGACCTAAAAAAAAATTTATGCAAAAGAACGGGAAACTTCGCTCTACCTAGGTTTCTGATAATACTGAAGAATTTAATGAGTTCTCAGAAATTAGAAGTACCCCTGTCAGAAGGAGCAATAAGTTGAATACCTCAGTGGGACTTTCATGCTTAAGGGAGATTTGACTGACTGTAAAAGGGTTCCATACAGGCATCTATTTCCTGCTGATTTGTTTCGGCGGGAAGCACAGCTATTTTTCCTAATGATAGTAGTCAAGTCAACTTACCACTAGCAGGAAGTTTACTTAGCTTGGGGCAAGTAGTCTTGATGTGATCAGGCTTACGGCAGTAGTAATAGGTGATGGGTTCAGGATTCTAATCCCTTGCCCAGTGCTGACTTGGAGACAGACATTGTTTTTCAGCTCCAGCCTCCTTCTTCGTAATTCACTCAGAGGTCCGTCCACAATGATCTTTGGCCAAACCAGGCTGCTGGGAAGAAAAAATAAAGGAGTACTTGGACAAGAAGTGGTTGGCCTTAAATGTGTCAACAAGTGTACACAGTTGCCACTGAATGATGTAATAACACCCAAACCTCTTGTCCAACTGACTCAAGAAGATTATCAAGAAGAACCGCCATTTGCACTAGCCTACTAAAATTAGTGATACTGGATTTGTGCCACTTAATAAACAATTTAGATTGTGCATGAACAGAATCCTCATGGGACTGACCCAGCTGAAGCTTGAGCTGAGTACAGCTGCTTCATGTCGTAATTAGTGAAATCTCCATCACTCAAACCAGCTGTAAATTCCAGCGATCTGCCATATAATTGTATATGAACGAGTGATGCCCAGTGCTTGAATGGCCATTGCAGAGCTCGAGACTGATTTTTAAAAGACTTGAAAAGCTGCTCAGGCTTAGAATCAGAAAACCAAGGTACAGTGGACCCCCGGTTTGCGATATTAATCTGTTTCTGAGAGCTCATCGTAAACCAAAATTATCGGAAAGCGAATCAATTTTCCCCATACAAAATAATGGAAATCAAATTAATCCGTGCAAGACACCCAAAAGTATGAAAAAAAAAAAAAACTTTTACCACATGAAATATTAAGTTTAATGCAATAGAATAATTACAATAACAACAATAACAATAGAATAATAACAATAGAATAAATGACACTTACCTTTAATGAAGATCTGGTGATGATTGATGGGATGGGAGGAGGGGAGTGTGTTGAACCTATTTAGAAGGGGAATCCCCCTCCATTAGGACTTGAGGTAGCTTTTCCTCCTGAGTAATGTAGGTCCTGCTTGGCAATTTCTTCCAAAACAGGCCTGTTTTGTCACAATTAAACACTTGTTCAGGTTTCAATCCTTCAGCCTCTATGTACTCTATGTACTTCAGAGTACAGTGCCTGCACTCTGAAGGAGGGGTGTTAATGTTGCAGTTTAAAAACTGTAGTGTAAAGCACCCTTCTGGCAAGACAGTGATGGAGTGAATGATGGTGAAAGTTTTTTCTTTTTCGGGCCACCCTGCCTTGGTGGGAATCGGCCGGTGTGATAATAAAAAAAAAAAAAAAAAAATAATTTTTCAGCCGCTTTGTGGTCTGAACTGGCAGCCCCACCATGCCTAATCACACTATGTATGCCACTACGATTCTTAAATCTTTCAAACCAACCTTTGCTGGCCTTAAATTCACTCACATCACCACTGGTTGCAGGCAATTTCTTTACCAAATCGTCGTGCAACTGCCTAGCCTTTTCACAAATGATCGCTTGAGAGATGCTATCTCCTCCTATCTGTTTTTCATTTATCCACACCAATAACAGTCTCTCAACATTTTCTAACACTTGTGGTCACTGTTTCGTAATCACAGTTGCACCTTTTGCAAGAACAGCTTCCTTGATTGCCGTTTTCCTGCTCACTATAGTAGAGATTGTTGATTGGGGTTTACTATACAACCTGACCAGCTCCAATACACGCACTCCACTTTCATACTTTGCAATTATCTCTTTCTTCATTTCAATAGTCATTAGCACCCTTGGTCTCGAAGGGTTGGCACTAGAAGCTTTCTTGGGGCCCATGGTGACTTATTTTGCAGAAACAAGCACCAAAAACAGTGATAATATGGATAATATAGAATGTACCGAATGTATCCTTAGATACGCGCACACTGGCTGGCTTGTAAACACTGGACATGTCTCGTACGAATCGTATCGCATACCGGGTTTTGTATCAGGAAGCGAGGCAAATTTTTTTCGATCAAATGCATCGGCTACCGGATTTATCGGATACCGATAGTATCGGGAACCGGGGGTCTACTGTACTAGCAACACCAATTTCTGAATACTGAAATTGTGATCCACAGTATGCCAAAACTGCCTTCTCTCCTTCTCTCTGTCAAATTCCTCCTTAACAAATGCATGTTGCTTCCCTGGTATTTTCAAGACTGAGTTTAGCTAACTTGAGCACTAACGAAGCTGACTCCCCTCGTGGCGACCCAGATTCACTACCTGTTTTTCCAAATGGTTGTTGGTTTGTTTGCTCAGGAGTTTGTCCTCCGGCATTATGAAAAATCTGAAGCAGGGATTGGTGATTAATAGTTCCCGTAGCAGTAGAAACCTCAGTTTTGGTGCACCTCTGGTAAGACAGTGATGGAGTGAGTGAATGATGAAAGCGTTTCTTCTTTTTCGTCTTACTCTGCCTTGGTGGGAAATGACTGATGTGTTAAAAAATTAAATAATAATAATGGTTGTTTAATATATTTATAGATGGGGTTGTAAAAGAAGTAAATGCTAGGGTGTCGGGGAGAGAGGTGGGATTAAATTTTGGGGAATCAAATACAAAATGGAAGTTGACACTTACTTTTTGCTGATGATACTGTGCTTTTGGGAGATTCTAAAGAAAAGTTGCAAAGGTTAGTGGATGAATTTGGGAGGGTGTGTAAAGGTAGAAAGTAGAAAATGAACATAGATAAGTGTAAGGTGATGAGGGTATCAAACAATTTAGATAAAGAAAAATTAAATATCACATTGGAGAGAGGGAGTATGGAAGAAGTGAATGTTTTCAGATATTTGGGAGTTGACTTGTCAGCGGTTGGGTTTATGAAGGATGAGGGTAACCATAGAAATGATGAAGGAAAAAGGGCGAGTGGAGCGTTTAGGTATCTGTGGAGACAAAAAACTTTATCCATGGAGGCAAAGAAGGGAATGTACGAAAGTAGTGGTACCACCACTCTTATATGGGTGTGACGCTTGGGTTGTTAATGCTGCAGCGAGGAGGCGGCTGGAGGCAGTGGAGATGTCATGTCTAAGGGCAATGTGCGGTTTAAGTATTATGCAGAGAATTTGTAGTGTGGAAATTTGGAGGTGTATAGTTACTAAAAGTATTAGTCACCAGGCTGAAGAGGGGTTGTTGAGGTGGTTTGGTGATTTAGAGAGAATGGAACAATGTAGAATGACTTGGAGAGTGTATAAATCTGTAGGGGAAGGAAGGCGGGGTAGGAGTCATCCTTGAAAAAGTTGGTGGGAGGGGGTAAAGTAGGTTTTGTGGGCGAGGGGCTTGGACTTCCAGCAAGCGTGTGTGAGCGTATTAGATAGGAGTGAATGGAAACAAATAGTTTTTGGGACCTGATGAGCTATTGAAATGTGAGTAGGGTAATATTTTGTGAAAGGATTCAGGGAAGCCAATTAGCTGGACTTGTGTCCTGGAAATGGGAAGTACAATGCTTGCACTTTAAAGGAGGGGTTTGAGATATTTGCAGTTTGGAGTGACTATCTTAACTGTCGTATCTGGGTGCTTTGGCAGACAGTGATTATGTATGAGTGATAGTGAAAGTGTTGAATGTTAATGAAAGTTTTTTTGTTTCTTTTTGGACTTTTCTTTCTTTTTAGGTCACCCTGCCTTGGTGGGAAATGGCCAATGTGTTAAAAAAATAATAATAAGTATTTGTTGCACCTTTTTAAAGTGTTGCAATGTTGCAAATATTAACTAAATGAATCTTGAGTGATGAGTTAAGGGTGAGAGTTTGTTGTCCTTACACAGGTCCTTATGGGACAGGGAAGACCTACACACTGGCACAAGGTATCAGACAAATTCTACAGGAGCCAGGGTCACGCATCCTCATCTGTACTCATTCCAACAGGTTAGAACCATAATTTTAAGGGAGATAATATACATATCATAGTTTTTTATGTAATGTGATAGCTTATTTACAATTACTCTATATACAGTACCAAAATTACCTATTTTGATTGTACATATGTGGGTAACGAGTATAGGGTTGGTTCATTTTGATTCAGTCAAGAGTTGACATTACTAGCTGTAAATAATGGTGACTCAAAGAGACATACAGAGTAAACTTGCAGAGTAAACTTCGTTCACTGTGGAGCTTTATCATGTACATGACAAAGTACTGTACTTGATAAACTTTCAGTTAGCTTTGTAAAGTATATACCGTATTTTCTGCATGCTTTTTTTTTTCCCCCAGAAAAAGTCTCGGAAAATCACCCTGCACTGTATATGCTCAAGGTCAGGGTCAAGGCTAGGCTTTGGGCTACATTTTAGCAATTGTTTACTAACGATACATTACAACTGCTTGGAAACATTGTTTTATATGTCTCATATGATCGGGCGTCTTATATGCTGGAAAATACGGTATTACCTTTCCTTATCATTTATGAATTAATAGCCTTGTTTAACTGGCATAAACTTTTATCAAGCTTTGAAAAAACTTTCATGTTAACTTATATAAAAAAATTTGTATGCATTACAGTGCTGCTGATTTATACATCAAAGAATATCTCCACCCATACGTCTTAGCAGGACACGAGGAAGCTAGACCTTTACGCATTTATTACCGCAATCGCTGGGTTACAACTGTTCATTCTGACGTTCAGAAGGTTAGAATATTATTTCTATTTGATCAATAAGTATAATTACTTCAGAATGTTGTGTGGGAGTTACAAGTAGGGTAGCATGACACTTGTTGCAGAGTAAATATTTAGTGTGGATGATATTTTACTGTGGGTAGAGATTAATCATGACTTAAAAAGCTTTATTCAGTAATGATTTCAAGCTTCTGGCAAGGCAGAGATTTAATAAGTGACAGTGAATGTGTTTCCTCTTTTGTTTTTAGATATAGATAAACAATAGAACTGATAAATAATTCTTTTGAGCAAAAGTGTCTTAGTGTAGTATTCAGTGTTTATGTTGTAATTCTTTATGGGTACACTAATTAACGATCAATTTGAAATTTATTATAATTTTATATTCATATTTTACAGTATTGTTTGATAGAAAATGACCAGAGTGTTAGGAGGTTTGTGATGCCCAGTGAAGAAGAAATTCTCTACCATCGAGTTATAGTTGCAACTCTCAACACTTCCCGTTACATTGCATCACTCAAGCTGGAGAAAGGTGTTTAATTCCCTGTTTTTGCAATGTTTTTATTTCAGTAAGAGTGTTTTCTCTTTTGAACCTATTTATTTCACAATTAACTCACAACTTGAAGGTGAATCTTAGACCACATACATGTATTATAATTTCTCACCTCTACAGTTCTGAAGAAATAATGGTCTAGGATAGACAGCAGGTATTATGTAGCTTAATCCTGCCCAGCCTGTCTTATGTCCATGTAAATTTAGTTATCTATTATATTATTTACATCAGTATACTGCTTTGGTGATGTTCAGACTGATTTTTTGTGAAGTTTCGACAGTGAATTTAATTTTTTTTTATGTCAAACAGTCACTTTATAAGTTGAGTCTTTTGCCTCTGGATTAAAAGTTTTTTTTTTTTTTTTCTCAACAAGTCGGCCGTCTCCCACCGAGGCAGGGTGACCCAAAAAAAAAAGAAAGAAAATCCCCAAAAAAGAAAATACTTTCATCATCATTCAACACTTTCACCTCACTCACACATTATCACTGTTTTTGCAGAGGTGCTCAGAATACAACAGTTTAGAAGCATACACATATAAAGATACACAACATATCCCTCCAAACTGCCAATATCCCAAACCCCTCCTTTAAAGTGCAGGTATTGTACTTCCCATTTCCAGGACTCAAGTCCGACTATATGAAAATAACTGGTTTCCCTGAATCCCTCCACTAAATATTACCCTGCTCACACTCCAACAGATCGTCAGGTCCCAAGTACCATTCGTCTCCATTCACTCCTATCTAACACGCTCACGCATGCTTGCTGGAAGTCCAAGCCCCTCTCCCACAAAACCTCCTTTACCCCCTCTCTCCAACCCTTTCGAGGACGACCCCTACCCCGCCTTCCTTCCCCTATAGATTTATATGCTTTCCATGTCATTCTACTTTGATCCATTCTCTCTAAATGACCAAACCACCTCAACAACCCCTCTTCTGCCCTCTTGACTAATACTTTTATTAACTCCACACCTTTTCCTAATTTCCACACTCCGAATTTTCTGCATAATATTTACATCACACATTGCCCTTAGACAGGACATCTCCACTGCCTCCAACCGTCTCCTCGCTGCTGCATTTACCACCCAAGCTTCACACCCATATAAGAGTGTTGGTACTACTATACATTCATATGTTCCCTTCTTTGCCTCCATAGATAACATTTTTTGACTCCACATATACCTCAACGCACCACTCGCCTTTTTTCCCTCATCAATTCTATGATTAACCTCATCCTTCATAAATCCATCCGCCAACACGTCAACTCCCAAGTATCTGAAAACATTCACTTCTTCCATACTCCTCCTCCCCAATTTGATATCCAATTTTTCTTTATCTAAATCATTTGATACCCTCATCACCTTACTCTTTTCTATGTTCACTTTCAACTTTCTACCTTTACACACATTCCCAAACTCATCCACTAACCTTTGCAATTTTTCTTTAGAATCTCCCATAAGCACAGTATCATCAGCAAAAAGTAACTGTGTGAATTCCCATTTTGAATTTGATTCCCCGAAATTTAATCCCACCCCTCTCCCGAACACCCTAGCATTTACTTCCTTTACAACCCCATCTATAAATATATTAAACAACCATGGTGACATTACACATCCCTGTCTAAGACCTACTTTTACCGGGAAGTAGTCTCCCTCTCTTCTACACACCCTAACCTGAGCCTCACTATCCTCATAAAAACTCTTTACAGCATTTAATAACTTACCACCTATTCCATATACTTGCAACATCTGCCACATTGCTCCTCTATCCACTCTATCATATGCCTTTTCTAAATCCATAAATGCAATAAAAACTTCCCTACCTTTATCTAAATACTGTTCACATATATGCTTCAATGTAAACACTTGATCTACACATCCCCTACCCACTCTGAAACCTCCTTGCTCATCCGCAATCCTACATTCTGTCTTACCTCTAATTCTTTCAATTATAACCCTACCGTACACTTTTCCTGGTATACTCAGTAAACTTATTCCTCTATAATTTTTACAGTCTTTTGTCCCCTTTCCCTTTATATAAAGGGACTATACATGCTCTCCGCCAATCCCTAGGTACCTCCCCTCTTTCATACATTTATTAAACAAAAGTACCAACCACTCCAACTCTATATCCCCCCCTGCTTTTAACATTTCTGTCATGATCCCATCAGTTCCAGCTGCTTTACCCCCTTTCATTTTACGTAATGCCTCACGTACCTCCCCCACACTTACATTCTGCTCTTCTTCACTCCTAAAAGATGGTATACCTCCCTGACCAGTGCATGAAATTACTGCGCTCAAGAAAAAAAAAATAGAAAAATTATGGAAAATGAGTTATTCATACAGAAAAATAGCTTAACTCTTTGGCAATACAATGGTACAAGAATCAATGTTCTACAATGTTTCTACAAGAAATTATAGTCATTTATATCAGGTATGGTGGCGGTGATGTAGGTAGCGAGTCTGCTCTCAACCCATATATTTTTTTGAATTTTTTCCTTGTTTTATTATCGCTTTTTCTTTGCATTATTCTTTCTAATATAATAATTGATTATTTGGCATCATATAAGAGTAGGTGGAGCTTATCAATAGACATCTAGCCTATCAGGAAGCACCTAGGTACACTCGGCAGAGCTCCCTCTCCAGACGGCGGCAGGTGAAATCACTTCATTATTACGCTTGTATCAGCTTATATATTAACTATACGGCTTATTTATCATTGACAATTGATCTAATATGATATAATAATCACTATAAATAACAAACAAACATGTTATATACTCTAGACTGAATAAAATAGGCCATAATATAGCGAGAGTCCACCAGCAATATTTCGATATAAATGAGTTACTCCTCGTCTCCTTGTTCTATTGTTTGGTATGTGAGTGATAGAAAACGGTGTTTTGAAGAGGATAACTGCACTAGAACAACAGTTTACCAAGAAATACTCCGAAACAAACGCGATTTCCGCGCAAAAAAAAAAAAATTTTTTTGAGACGGTAGGCCGGCCGACGTTCTAGGCCTATATCTCGGAAGTAACTTATTCACTTATTTCGCTTCATAACTCCATTATTAATGATTGTATTGAAATGATTTTCACAGACAATATAAAACAAAGTGTGTTTGAATTATTTACGTTAGATTTTTTGGAATATCTCAAATATTTTTGATTTTATGGGGGGTAAAAGGCAGATATTTTGGCGAATGCCAAAAATTCTGTCAAATGTATTTTTTTTTACCTTGATAATAAGATATATTAGATGAAATGGCAACGTAAAAACGTCGTGCTAGTTGTATTCTAACAGTTGGGAATGTCGGAAGTGCCACTCGTAGTGCCAATTTGTCAGGTCGTGCTGCCATATATAAAAATCATGTTTATATTTTTTTCTCTGTTGTTTGTTGGCCAATCATACTGAAACTTTGTCACATGCTTCTACATATGCACCTCTAAAAGTACACCAAAAATAAAATAAATCGGTTGAAAAATAATTTTTTTTTTAAATGAAAGGCTCCCACCTCCTCCCTTAAAAGTTCCTCAAAATATTCTCGCCATCTACATAATACCTCCATTTCCCCATCTACTAACTCCCCTACTCTGTTTTTAACTGACAAATCCATACTTTCCCTAGGTTTTCTTAACTTGTTTAACTCACTCCAAAATTTTTTCTTATATTCATTAAAATTTCTTGACAGTGCCTCTCCCACTCTTATCATCTGCTCTCCTTTTGCACTCTCTCACCACTCTCTTTACCTTTCTTTTACTCTCCATATACTCTGCTCTTCTTATAACACTTCTGCTTTGTAAAAACCTCTCATAAGCTACCTTTTTCTCTTTTATCACACCCTTTACTTCATCATTCCACCAATCACTCCTCTTTCCTCTTGCCCCCACCCTCCTATAACCACAAACTTCTGCCCCACATTCTAATACTGCATTTTTAAAACTATTCCAACCCTCTTCAACCCCCCCACTACTCATCTTTGCACTAGCCCACCTTTCTGCCAATAGTCGCTTATATCTCACCCGAACTTCCTCCTCCCTTAGTTTATACACTTTCACCTCCCTCTTACTTGTTGTTGCCACCTTCCTCTTTTCCCATCTACCTCTTACTCTAACTGTAGCTACAACTAAATAATGATCCGATATATCAGTTGCCCCTCTATAAACATGTACATCCTGGAGCCTACCCATCAACCTTTTATCCACCAATACATAATCTAATAAACTACTTTCATTATGTGCTACATCATACCTTGTATATTTATTTATCCTCATTTTCATAAAATATGTATTACTTATTACCAAATCTCTTTCTACCCCTAGCTCAGTTAAAGGCTCCCCATTTACATTTACCCCTGGCACCCCAAATTTACCTACTACTCCCTCCATAACATTTTTACCCACTTTAGCATTGAAATCCCCAACCACCATTACTCTCACACTTGATTCAAAATTCCCCACGCATTCACTCAACATTTCCCCAAATCTCTCTCTCTCTCCTCTACACTTCTCTCTTCTCCAGGTGCATACACGCTTATTATAACCCACTTTTCACATCCAATCTTTATTTTACTCCACATAATCCTTGAATTAATACATTTATAGTCCCTCTTTTCCTGCCATAGCTTATCCTTCAACATTATTGCTACTCCTTCTTTAGCTCTAACTCTATTTGAAACACCTGACCTAATCCCATTTATTCCTCTCCACTGAAACTCTCCCACCCCCTTCAGCTTTATTTCACTTAAAGCCAGGACATCCAGCTTCTTCTCATTCATTAAAAGTATGACTTATTAATATTTATAACATTTTGGAAGTTTTTATATAGGCGTTATCATTCAAGCTTTTTTTTTGTTTTGTTTAAGGTGTATTTACGCACATTCTAATAGACGAAGCGGCCCAGGCTATGGAGTGTGAGGCTCTGACACCATTAGCCCTAGCCAAACCTGATACTCGCCTTGTATTGGCTGGAGATTACATGCAACTCAGTCCAGAGGTAAGTAATAGTCTGTTACATTTTTAGAGTTTCTTTAGTAATATTGGAAATGGAGATTTATTGGCAATTTTAATGTAAAGTACATTACTGATCAAACTGTAAAATATTATCTTTATCATAAATTTATTTGTCAGCCTTGTGCATTTTTTTCTTTTTGCAGGTTTTTTCTAAATTTTGTGAAGAAAGAGGCTTAGGCACATCTCTACTAGAGCGACTGTATGATCTTTATCCTGCAGACTCCCCATGCAAAATTATGCTTGTAGAAAATTACCGCTCGCACTCTGCCATTATTAAGGTGAGATTTCCACTGTCTTTCTTTTTATTCGTCTATCAGCTTTACTCATTCTCACCCTTCATGATACTGGTGAAGGGCTTTCTAGCCAAAGAATTAGAGTTACCTTCACTTTTCATAGATCACATCAGATAGCCTCCCATTCCCATGGGTTGTATGACCCTTATAGATCTAGTGTTTCTATTTTTTTTAGCACACTGGCTGTCTCCCACTGAGGGTGACTCAAAAAAGAAGAAATGAAAGTTTTCTTCTTTTTACATTTTGAAGGGTTACTAGTCCCTAGCATAGTGATTACATATGAGTATTAAAATAATATGCTTTCTGAGCAGGTGTATCCTACAAGAATAGAAAATAAAACTTGAATTAGAAAATAGAAAGGATTTCTATATTCCAGGTTAAGTAACAAGCCCTCTTCATCTACTGCCAGGGTTTCTGAGACTGAAATTTTCAGATCCCTTCTACTCTGTGCTTAACCCTTTGACTGTCGCAGCCGTATATATACGTCTTACGAGGTACCGTGTTTGACGTATATATACTCATAAATTCTAGCGGCTTCAAATCAAGCAGGAGAAAGCTGGTAGGCCCACATGTGAGAGAATGGGTCTGTGTGGTCAGTGTGCACCATATAAAAAAAATCCTGGAGCACGCAGTGCATAATGAGAAAAAAAAAACTCCGACCGTTTTTTTTTTAATTAAAATGCTGACTTTGTGGTCTATTTTCATATAGTATTTATGGTTGTATTCTCGTTTTCTTGGTCTCATTTGATAGAATGGAAAACATATTATAGAAATAGAGGTGATTTTGATTGATTTTTCTATAAAAAGAACCTAGAAATGGAGCTCAAAGAAGGGGAAATGTTTGATTTTTGCCAATGTTCAAAAGTAAACAAATGATGCCATTGTCCAATAAATGTCCAACTAGCCATTCTAATATGCAGTCATGAATGGGTTGATGTTATTTATACAATTATTACAATATTGCAGTAGTCTGCATAATAGTAAGTCTTCTATTTTTTGTTTGAATAAAAATTCAAAATAGAAAGCAAGAGTAATATCAGAGGGGCCTGGAGACATGACTGATGAGCAAAGAAAATGTTATTTTAGAGCCAGGAATGTCTGCATTGTTCATTCTGGACCTTATTTTGAAATTGTCACATTTTTTAATTTTCGTGAAATTGGCCAAATTGCAAATTTCTGACCACATTATTAGGTAGTTGAAATCAGTAAATGGGCAGTTTCCTGTACTCAATCAATAGAAAAAATGGAGTTCTAAAGAAATAGCTATGAGTTTGGGCGACTGGAACAATGGAATTAGCCGAAAATAGGGCTCAAAGTGGGTGAAATCGCCGATTTGTAAACAGCGCCGAGGTCGCTAACTTCGTGAGAGCATAATTCCGTCAGTTTTCCATCAAATTTCGTTTTTTTTTGGTGTCATTACAATCGGGAAAAGATTCTCCATCATTTCATAAGAAAAAATAATTTTTTTTTTTAAATTTTGCGACACCAGGAGACACCTCAGGATTGGGGGTTGCGACAGTCAAAGGGTTAATTGTCCATCCCTGTAGGATTTACCTGTTAATTGATCAGTCTTATGACACTGTTATCATCACATTTTATATTTAAACTAGTCAGAATGTGCATTATTTTATTTGCAGTACAGGGTCCTCACTTTATAACATCTGCACTTATAGAGGAGATCCTTAGGAAGTAATATTGAAGAAATGGTTGTTTTACAACTCCTTGGGGAAGTGGAACAGAATTCTACCTCTGTAAGCTATGCGTGTTGTAAGAGGCAACTAAATTGCTGGGAGCAAGAGGCTAGTAACCCCTTCTCCTGTACACATTACTAAAGTTATGAAGAGAAACTTCTGTTTTTCTTTTTGGGCCACCCTGCCTTGGTGGATACCTTGGTTTGTTGAGAGACGTTTTGCAAACGCTGATCTGAAGTTGCTCACATGTATGACACACAACTTTCTTCTGTAATATTGTTTACTCTAGAAAAATAGGTTTCAAGTTGCAAATAATTCATTTGTGGTTTGAACATCTGGAACACAAGTCATTATTGAGCTGTTTACCTGCTGTATATCCAGCTTGGTAGTGACTGTGCAAATAGCAGGACCTCTTTTTGATGTAGGCTGTTTTGTTACAATGCTATTATTTTATGATTCACAAAAGACCTTTTATTTGTAATGTACCTCATTTGTTTGTAGAGTACTTTGTTTATGTAAGCAAAAGAGCATTTTTGTTTGGTGAAGTGCTAAAAATATGTTACATTATTTTCCCTTCTTGCAGTATACATCTGACTTGTTCTATGATGGTCGACTAGTAGCAAGTGGGAAGCAGACTGCTCACCCCAAGTTCCATCCCCTTACCTTCTTTACAGCTAGAGGAGAAGATTTTCAAGATCCTAATTCCACTGCTTTTCACAATAATTCAGAGGTGGGTATTCATTTGAAAAATAAATTTTCAATAATTTCTTCACACGAGAAATAACTAATACATTTCATTTATTTCTGCAGATGAAGATGCTATTTATAAGCGTACTCCACAAAATGTGTTTGCAAAGAATGAGCTCAAGTTCCTGCTCCTTACAGCCACACCCAGGAGCTGGATCTTATACCTCGTAAAACACTTCAAGGAGTGGGGTGCATTTATATTAGTAAAGGGTTCTTGATTTGAGGAACTGGAGCTACCCTCCCCTTCTTCAGATCAGATCTGAATGCCTCCCATTTTCCAGGTGCTGTATGACCCTTGCAGATTTAGCAATTCCAACCCCTGTGGGTTTAGCACTTCCCCATGAATAATATAAAATGCATTGGTCATAGCACATCCATTCATGGCTTTCTCAAGGAAAGGCAGCCTTTGCCACCCTGTGTATTGCTTGGTCATGCTCAAAGTTCATTATTTTATGATGGACTGGATCATACATCAGAGAGCATACCACCTTTATTCTCATCCTTTTTTTCAATGCTTTCAGTACTGGGGCAATGGGGATGTTAGCCATGTTTCCTTTCACCTGTTGCTCCTTTTCTTTCTTGTTCTTTCAACAAACCGGCTGTAGCCCACTGAGCCAGGGTATACCTAGAGAGGGTTTCGGGGGTCAACGCCCCCACAGACCGGTCTGAGGTCAGGAAGCTTGGTGGATCAGGGTCTGATCAACCAGGCTGTTACTGCTGGCCACATGCAAACTGGTGTACGAACCAGAGCCCGGCTGGTCGGATACTGACTTAGGGTGGCCCAAAAAGAAAAAGAAAAGTTTCTCTTTTTAACTTTAGTAATGTCTACAGGAGAAGAGGTTACTAGTCCCTTGCTCCAGGCATTTTAGTTGCTTCTTATGACACATGGCTTATGGAGGAAGAATTCTGTTCCACTTTCCCATAGAGATAAGAGGAAATAAACAAGAGCAAGAGCTAGTAAGAAAATAGAAGAAAACCCAGAGGGTTGTATATATATATATATGTGCTGGTACATGTAGGTACATTGTAGGTAGTAGGTTGGTAGACCCAGGGAGGTACTACCGTCCTGCCAAATGATTGTAAAACAAAAGCCCGTAATTGTTTTACATGATGGTAGGATTGCTGGTGTCTTTTATCTTTTTTTTTTTCTTTTTTTTTTTCAACAAGTCGGCCGTCTCCCACCGAGGCAGGGTGACCCAAAAAAGAAAGAAAATCCCCAAAAAGAAAATACTTTCATCATCATTCAACACTTTCACCACACTCACACATAATCACTGTTTTTGCAGAGGTGCTTAGAATACAACAGTTTAGAAGCATATACATATAAAGATACACAATATATCCCTCCAAACTGCCAATATCCCAAACCCCTCCTTTAAAGTGCAGGCATTGTACTTCCCATTTCCAAGACTCAAGTCCGACTATATCAAAATAACCAGTTTCCCTGAATTTTTTTTTTTTTTCAACAAGTTGGCCGTCTCCCACCGAGGCAGGGTGACCCAAAAAAGAAAGAAAATCCCCAAAAAGAAAATACTTTCATCATCATTCAACACTTTCACCTCACTCACACATTATCACTGCTTTTGCAGAGGTGCTCAGAATACAACAGTTTAGAAGCATATACGTATAAAGATACACAACATATCCCTCCAAACTGCCAATATCCCAAACCGCTCCTTTAAAGTGCAGTCATTGTACTTCCCATTTCCAGGACTCAAGTCCGACTATATGAAAATAACCGGTTTCCCTGAATCCCTTCACTAAATATTACCCTGCTCACACTCCAACAGATCGTAAGGTCCCAAGTACCATTCGTCTCCATTCACTCCTATCTAATATGCTCATGCACGCTTGCTGGAAGTCCAAGCCCCTTGCCCACAAAACCTCCTTTACCCCCTCTCTCCAACCCTTTCGAGGACGTCCCCTACCCCGCCTTCCTTGCCCTATAGATTTATATGCTTTCCATGTCATTCTACTTTGATCCATTCTCTCTAGATGACCAAACCACCTTAACAACCCCTCTTCTGCCCTCTGACTAATACTTTTATTAACTCCACACCTTTTCCTAATTTCCACACTCCGAATTTTCTGCATAATATATACACCACACATTGCCCTTAGACAGGACATCTCCACTGCCTCCAACCGTCTCCTCGCTGCTGCATTTACCACCCAAGCTTCATACCCATATAAGAGTGTTGGTACTACTATACTTTCATACATTCCCTTCTTTGCCTCCATAGATAACGTTTTTTGACTCCACATATACCTCAATGCACCACTCACCTTTTTTCCCTCATCAATTCTATGATTAACCTCATCCTTCATAAATCCATCCGCTGACACGTCAACTCCCAAGTATCTGAAAACATTCACTTCTTCCATACTCCTCCTCCCCAATTTGATATCCAATTTTTCTTTATCTAAATCATTTGATACCCTCATCACCTTACTCTTTTCTATGTTCACTTTCAACTTTCTACCTTTACACACATTCCCAAACTCATCCACTAACCTTTGCAATTTTTCTTTAGAATCTCCCATAAGCACAGTATCATCAGAAAAAAGTAACTGTGTCAATTCCCATTTTGAATTTGATTCCCCATAATTTAATCCCACCCCTCTCCCGAACACCCTAGCATTTACTTCTTTTACAACCCCATCTATGGTGACATTACACATCCCTGTCTAAGACCTACTTTTACCGGGAAGTAGTCTCCCTCTCTTCTACACACCCTAACCTAAACCTCACTATCCTCATAAAAACTCTTTACAGCATTTAGTAACTTACCACCTGTTCCATATACTTGCAACATCTGCCACATTGCTCTCCTATCCACTCTATCATATGCCTTTTCTAAATCCATAAATGCAATAGAAACTTCCCTACCTTTATCTAAATACTGCTCACATATATGCTTCAATGTAAACACTTGATCTACACATCCCCTACCCACTCTGAAACCTCCTTGATCATCCGCAATCCTACATTCTGTCTTACCTCTAATTCTTTCAATTATAACCCTACCGTACACTTTTCCTGGTATACTCAGTAAACTTATTCCTCTATAATTTTTACAATCTCTCTTGTCCCCTTTCCTGCCAATCCCTAGGTACCTTCCCCTCTTTCATACATTTATTAAACAAAAGTACCAACCACTCCAACACTATATCCCCCCCTGCTTTTAACATTTCTGTCATGATCCCATCAGTTCCAGCTGCTTTACCCCGTTTCATTCTATGTAACGCCTCACGTACCTCCCCCACACTTACATTCTGCTCTTCTTCACTCCTAAAAGATGGTATACCTCCCTGACCAGTGCATGAAATTACCGCCTCCCTTTCTTCCTTAACATTTAAAAGTTCCTCAAAATATTCTCGCCATCTACCTAATACCTCCATCTCCCCATCTACTAACTCCCCTACTCTGTTTTTAACTGACAAATCCATACTTTCTTTAGGCTTTCTTAACTTGTTTAACTCACTCCAAATTTTTTTCTTATTTTCATTAAAATTTCTTGACAGTGCCTCTCCCACTCTATCATCTGCTCTCCTTTTGCACTCTTTCACCACTCTCTTCACCTTTCTTTTACTCTCCATATACTCTGCTCTTCATCATTCCACCAATCACTCCTCTTTCCTCCTGCCCCCACTCTCCTATAACCACAAACTTCTGCCCCACATTCTAATACTGCATTTTTAAAACTATTCCAACCCTCTTCAACCCCCCCTCCCCCACTACTCATCTTTGCACTAGCCCACCTTTCTGCCTATAGTCGCTTATATCTCGCCCGAACTTCCTCCTCCTTTAGTTTATACACTTTCACCTCCGTCTTACTTGTTGTTGCCACCTTCCTCTTTTCCCATCTACCTCTTACTCTAACTGTAGCTACAACTAAATAATGATCCGATATATCAGTTGCCCCTCTATAAACATGTACATCCTGGAGGCTACCCATCAACCTTTTATCCACCAATACATAATCTAACAAACTACTTTCATTACGTGCTACATCATACCTTGTATATTTATTTATCCTCTTTTTCATAAAATATGAATTACTTATTACCAAATCTCTTTCTACACATAGCTCAATTAAAGGCTCCCCATTTACATTTACCCCTGGCACCCCAAATTTACCTACTACTCCCTCCATAACATTTTTACCCACTTTAGCTTTGTAATCCCCAACCACCATTACTCTCACACTTGATTCAAAACTCCCCATGCATTCACTCAACATTTCCCCAAATCTCTCTCTCTCTCCTCTACACTTCTCTCTTCTCCAGATGCATACACGCTTATTATAACCCACTTTTCACATCCAATCTTTATTTTGCTCCACATAATCCCTGAATTAATACATTTATAGTCCCTCTTTTCCTGCCATAGCTTATCCTTCAACTTTATTGCTACTCCTTCTTTAGCTCTAACTCTATTTGAAACCCCTGACCTAATCCCATTTATTCCTCTCCTTTGAAACTCTGCCACCCCCTTCAGCTTTGTTTCACTTAAAGCCAGGACATCCAGCTTCTTCTCATTCATAACATCCACAATCATCTCTTTCATATCATTTGCACAACATCCACGCACATTCAGACTTCTCACTTTGAGAATTTTTTTCTTCTTATTCTTTTTAGCCATCTTTACAGGAAAAGGGGTTACTAGCCCATTGTTCCCGGCATTTTAGTTGACTTTTACAACACACATGGCTTACGGAGGAAAGATTCTTATTCCACTTCCCCATGGATATAAAAGGAAAAGTAATAAGACCAAGAACTATTACGATAAAATCAAAGAAAACTCAGATGAGTGTGTATAAATAAACGTGTGCATGTATGTGTAGTGTGACCTAAGTGTCAGTAGAAGTAGCAAGACATACCTGTAATCTTGCATATTTATGAGACAGACAAAAGACACCAGCAATCCTACCATCATGTAAAACAATTACGGGCTTTTTTTTTAACTCACTTGGCAGGACG